GGAACACTTTGGGTATCAAGAACCTCTCGCTCGCGTAATTACGTTGGGCTGCTTTTCGGATGTGGTCTTGCATGGTCTTGGCTATTGACTATTGATGAATCTGCTCTTCCTGTGGTACAAGTATGTCTCGACTTAACTCCCACTTAGTACCAACAGAAGATACTCCACAACCTTAGGCGATGGACTTCACTACGCTTTCCCAGGAACATCGAGAGACCTTTACAAGCAAGAATGCCCTCGGCCTTCATGTGCATTCTGAACACTGTCACCAATCACTCATCCTTGCTCTCCCATGCTTTTGCAAGGTCCAATTTGGTAGAACAAAGCAGCAAGGCTGGCTGGCAGACTCCCGAACAAGCACCTCCTGGAGCTTCCGACGCAGTTCACTGGCCACAAGATGTACCGTTTTGGTGACACACCTCGAGGACAGGAGCAAACCACAGGGATTCAAGGGATCAAAAGCTGCCTGGGGCTCTGTAAATCACGAATTGAAATTCAAAATCAAACTGGGACCGTTGCTGTCCATCATGGGCGTCTTGGTCGCGACAATATCGTACACTAACACGGCTCGTCACAGTAACATTGGTTTCCCTGGGTGTCCCTGAAATCGCCTGAAGAACTCCTCTTTCGTCACCACTGGGACATTGGCTTCAAGTGTACCAGTGACAGCAAAAGCCTGGCACCCGGATGCAAAAGGATGAGCCTCAAAAGTGATGTCTGCTCTGCCAAACAAGCTTCCTGGAAGCAAGCGTCGTGGTTGCTGCGTACAGTTGGCTAAAAATGGCTTTGCCCAGGCCTCAATGGCTTCCCAAGTAAGCCTGAGGCGGCGCAAGCGGTCTGTATTTGGTATTTTTTCTTGTAAGAACAGTCCGTGCGGAACCTTGCTTTTGCCGCAGCAATATAATTGCTCAAAAACCAACTATAGGCTATTAGGTTGGAGGCCATCACAAGTAGGTTGGAGGCCATCGCAAGCCATTGCTAGGGAGGCAAACTATAGGTCAATCGATTCGATTCCTATGACACACCTGGTCTTTGCAGAGTGATCTCCATGCCAAACATCCTGATCCGATCCCTTTCGATTCGTCAAGAAGCTCAGTGGAACCAAGGGAATGTGCAAAGGTCCAGAGTAGACGCCGCAACTCCACACGCCTGGAGGAAGTTGTAGTTGGAACTTGGAATCTTTTAGCTTCAGACTAAACATTGGACCTCCATGGACCTCCTTTATTTGAGGGAGGGGTTACCGGCAACGAGTCAGAGCAGACCTCGCATGGAAAGGGTTCTGAGACTTTGCGACAAGAGATTTGGACACAAACAGCCTGGACACATCTGGATCCATATGGACTGCTGTCATATGATATCCTCATCTCCAGTGACTCCAGCGGCCACCTCATGGTTCCATGAGCATCCAGCCCAGCTCGACGGAAATGCGCATCACACCTGTTGATTCATGGCAAAGCGAGCGAGAAGGTGACAGGATGTATGGGTGCAATTTACCTCAACTAGCAGTGAATAAAGTCTTAGAGCACTTCAACGAAAACGAAGAAAAACAGCCAGGCCAGATCTGAAATTTGGCTCCACTTTTGAGCTGGTGTTGACCGCGGCATCGGCTGTGCATTTGCGGGCGAACGAAGCACTCGGCATTGTCTCCGAGTTGCTGGAACCCGCGGCATTGGCTCCCCTCCTTTCGCTTGTCAAAGCCTCAGCACATCATAGCACCATACAGCGCTTGTCACTCAAGCTCTGCGAAGGTCATCATCTCTTCCTGAATCACATGTGCAAGATACTTCTTCAAATCAGCCTCGCTCTTGTAGCGAGGCAATTGTAGTAGGTTGGAACATGTTGCGGCTGTAGGATAGAAGGTTCTCAGCTTTCGGTCCTCTGGTTTGGATTTCAGGACAATTGTAAAGGGCATGCTCATATCTTGAGACTTCAAGTGCTTAAAGCCTCCGATGGGTGAGCTACTCTGCCCTGTGACAAAGCGAAGCAAAAGCCTCCGGTCTCTGTTGCTCATGGCGGCCACTGCATCCCAAAACCATTTCACCACCTTCGTCCTTTCAGCTGCACCAGGACCATCATACTTGGTGCTCCTCTTCCAGTCCTGAACGTCAATCTCATCGTTTCCAAAGAGCAAAGAGTCAAAGTCTTCCACCTTCAAACAAGTGGAAGCTGCGAGAATCAACGCCTGGGGAATGAAAAAGTAGAAGCCACTCTTGAGACTTGACAAGTCATCTTCATTGCTCCGAAGCCGGTATGCAGCGTAGAGGTTTGCGTAGATGTCAACATTGGACTTGGTGACTGGCATCTTCTCCCCATTCCACGTCAAGCTCACCCTGCGTCTCTTGCCAAAGTGCACTTCGTCAACAGAAAAGTCTAAGTCCAACTGCCTGATGACTTCTGCATCAAGGTCCCTCAACTGGTTCAGCCTTTTGTATAGAGCTTCATCCACCTGGGCCAAATCTTCTGGGCAAAGCTCCAAGCCCAGCAACTCCTTCAGGAGCGGCTTCGCAAAGCGCACTGGAAGATGCTGCTCCTTCAAAAGAGCCAGGCTCATCATCTTCCCCACCAGCTTGTAGTAAGAGCTCCGCAGCTCGTTAAAACACGGTCTAGAACTCATGGCCAAACGAGGTGGGTCTGAGTCCGTGGTCACGAAAAGGTTGTAGTCTTCTTTCGAAAGCTCAGAAGAAAACACCGAGAAAAGGTCTTTGACCAAACCTGCTCCTTGGCCAGTCTCCTGGCCAAACATTACATCCTCCATGTGTGGAGTTAAACGGTCATGCTGTTGACAAATACTTTGCAGCACTTGTTTTCGGTCGACTTGCAACAGCGGCAGTGCTTCATACTCATCCGCAATAGGCGCGTACATCAAAATACATTCCAGGACACCTCGAAACCAATTGATTTTTTCTCAAAGTTGCATCCTGTCAAGTTGCGGGCCTCCTCCAAAAGCAAAGGTTTTAAGGCCGCATCCAAGGGCTCTGGGCACAAGGGTCCATGAAAGCCATGCAGCACAAGCTCATCTCGCTTGTAGAACTGAGAACACAGGACCTCTGAAGGGGTCCTGCCCTCAGTATCTACCAAAGTGGCATCTGCTCGAGCTCCTAGAAGCTCCTGAATGTTGGTAACTCCATCTCTGCAAACGATCCAACCAACGGTACCACACAAGCAATGCAAAGGAGTCATGCCTTTGCTACACATGGCATTGACCTCCGCCTTTGCATGAAGAAGGAGTCGAGCTGATGGAAGAGCATTGTTGCTGCAAAGCTCGTGCAGCGCAGAGATCTGCTTTCTTGTGCGCAAGGTCGCATCTGCCCCAAGTTGAAGCAAATGCGCTGTCATCTCTGGCACCACGAACTCATTGCCACAGAGATCCATCAGGGGTGTTCGGCCTGTTCTGTCTCTGGCATTCACATCAGCCCGGGCTTGCAAAAGCTGCATACTACAGCCTTTGAATTCTGACACGTGCTTTGTGCTGAAACAAAGATGATGCAAACATGTACAGCCTTTGGCATCTTTTCTCTTCACTGACCAACCTTCCAACAATAGCCGAGCTATTGTTGCCTCTCTGTCAGAACAACAACTTGGAAGGCAAGCTGCGTGCAAAGGAGTGGCACCAGGTGTCCACTCGAGCCATGGATCACGTGGCATAGCTTGCAAACTACGAAAAATACACTTATTTCAGGTCTTGCATGGTGTGACTGCCTGATCAACAATTCAACATCATCATTGATTTGACATGGCATAATGAATCATAATGATATTGTTGGATAATGCTGAAGCTTCTGATCTTCATTTCCCTACTCATTGACAAAGCAACTTGAACCGAACAAATACACATGATTACACATGTGTAAATGTCAGACAAATCTTTGCATATTAACGAAGCGTGTTCCAGAGTCATGCGCTGCTAATCCCGTCTGGACAATGAAAGGTTGGACCCAACAGGACCCGTCTGTGCAAAACTTGGACAACCAAGCTACATCCAATCCGCACAAGCGACCACAAAGGCCATAAGTCTTGCACAAAGGCGAGGACGTCTGTGGACAGCTGAGATACAGGCTCTCGTTCAAGGGTCTCTGTATCCAAGAGCAACTTCTCCACTCTCTGCAAAGACCTCTTTAAACACACAAGTGGCAGTCAACATCTTAAACAAACGCAAGTGGCCCGGCCACAAGTGGCCCAAACGCACAAGCTGCAACTGAGTGGCACAGCAAGTTGCTGCGGATCTTGGAGACCGTCACCCTTCGCACGCACCACACAGGGCGCGAACGAGGCAGCTGCCTAGCGGGCAATGTGGAGATCTTTTTGACCCCAAGAGCTGCTGCCTAGTTTGTGATTTCTTCACCAATCCCGAACAACCCCAAACAACATGTTGTTTCCAGTATCTTCGAAGCTTTCGGCCCGAGTCCAAGACGGCAAGAAGCGTTTGGGGTTCAACGGCCCTACATTCGCGCGGCAGCCACGAAAAACTCGCGGCTTCAAGCCTGCTGTCCCATCTTGATGCATGAAGAGCCACATTAAGGCAGCGATCAGTTGCTTTGTATCATGACAGCTGGCTGCTTGGGCTAGGGCACTAGCCCTGTCAGCTTGTGTGGGAACCCCAGGGTGGTTGGCAAATGCACTGTACAAAGTGTCCATCCGTGTGTGGTGATGAATGAGGATGACTGATGCTCAGTTTATAATAACAAGAGCCTTTCTTAGTCAAGCAAGCACTATGCAATGCCTCTTCCAAGTGCAACTGCTTCAACTTCCACTTACTCTTGTATATGTTGGCACATCTGCTGGGGATCCTGTTGGAAGATGAAAGGGCCAAATGGCTCTTTTGAAGCATGGGCCGTCCGGTACAACGTGCAATGCTGGATTGTGCTGCAAGTACAGTAATCATTTACAAGACAATAAGGCACACATCTACTTGGCTAAGCCAGGCCTGGCCAAAGGGACTCCAAGCAGTCTCCGAAATCCATGCTTGGAACATCTGGACAGCTACGACAAGCAACCGAGGCCTGCATCTCTGGGATACTACTTCGCATCCGCGCTTCTTCCTGCAAATGTGTGATCCAAAAAAACAAGCTGGAACAGAAACATAAACAAGATCGAATGATGAGAAAAGTCAGCGAAGACCTTGGCGTGGTATTGGTGGAGAAGTTCCTTAAATACTATAACATTATATATAATGCCAAAACCACTATCAAAAACAAACTTGTGTCTGACCATCGCCAATCCAAAATCTCTGTCCACCTGCTCTCACCACAGTCCTGTGCATAAGCTTGGATAATCCTCTCACGGCGTTGCATCCAAAAGTAGGCACCAACCTATAGGTCGAAGGCGTTTCTGTACATCAAACCTTGGGGCTGACCATTCCTCTGGCTTGGCTCTGAGTACCCAAACAGCCAGGCCCATGATCAGCAGAAGAATGAAGAGCAAAGGTGTCGGTGAGAACACCTTGCGAAGGAGATTAAAACAAAAAGCACATGATGAACCATTGACCAACCTCATCCTAAACTGGACAACTTGATCTGCTTGATTCCTCAACATTCATCAACATATATCACCATTTATGCACACCATACAGCTAGTGGACACATCAACATCTGCAATAGGTCGACCCCACCTCCAATGCCGTCGGAATTGGTAAAGACCTGAGCACGACTTGGGTCGAGCCATGAACTGCAAACGATTCTTACTTTATGATCTTTGACACTTGCTGGAATATATAACTGAATCAAACACAGTGAGAGAGCGTGCAAACGTTCTTACAGGTGTAGGTTGGTGCAATTTGCTGACATACGCTGACATAAAATGTTGTCAAATGCCTTTGTCTCCTCACGATCCTAAGGCCATGACAAACTTGAAATCAACGAAGGCATCACCTTATGTCTATGACTGCATCGAAGTGTAGATTCAATCCTCAAACGGTCTCAGCCCCACCCCCCTTGAGAACATCTGGATACATTTGGTACACCCTCGAAACACTTGTTGGCAGTCAGTAGAAAAAACAAACAGGGGAAACAGTCAGAATTCCAACCGGTTCACGTGTGTAGCGGTCTAGAGTACAAAACCTCCAAAAGCGGGCGGGCCAAGCGAATGGTCCACCGATGTCCAACGTCAAACAACGCCAAGTCATCCTTCTGGACGACTGATGGAGCAGCATGGAGCACCCGGGTCGTGCCATGGATACGGAGTTCGACATTCTTTGGACAGAAATGGAATACACCGGTGACATCCGGTGACACCATTGGCCGTGCCACTTTCTTCGGATGACAGGAGAATCCTAGGGTCAGGATTCGATGTCCTAACGTCAGGAGTAATAGAGTTGTACACTGCTAACCACACAATTGCCGAAAACTATTTCCTTTTGCCTTGTAAAATTCATTCAATATGCAACTTCAATCTGAGGACCTCGCGACAGTTGGCATATCTGCACCTGGAAAAATTATCATGCAACAACAACAACAGCAACAACGCAACTCCCGATTCAGTTTGCCTCCGCAAAGGGCGTCTGAGAAAGAGATGCCAATCTATGCCAATCTGGTGATTTGTCACACACTGATAGGACAAATCAGCGACATTTCTGATGTTGTGATTGTGCAAACAACTATATATTCAAAAACAAAACAATCCTTCAACATGAAAAGTTGTTTGAAAGAAATTATGCATGTTTCACGTGACATCGCAGTGTCTTCCTCTGCCACACATCCCTCGAGCCAAAGAACCAAGGTTGAGATCCCGCAAAAGGTTGAACTTAAATAAACGATTTGATGACCCGCCCTGCCCCCCCCCCCACAGTCATTTCATACAGTGTATATGTTTGATGTTATTAATTAATTAAACACTTCATCTGCGGATCGAAAATAAGAATCAGCTGCAAAATGCTGCTCAAACCCACACAAACTGTTTCCCCAATCCCAGCACATTCGAATCCCCTCTCACGGGCGTGTTGCCCATGCGATAAATCATCGTAAATGTCGGATGGCTACAGCCTACAGCATAGAAGTGTTTCAAGTGGCCGGTGACGAGCTTGTTCTGTCTGGCAATTCATTGTGCAGTTGCAAGTCACCGGACTGCTTGTTCAGCAATTTGTGCATCGAGTGCACGAATCACAGCGTCTTCCTTGGATGGTTACCGTTTTTCCACTGGTTCCTTCAACCACGCACAAAACAGCCCTCATAAGTTTTGTATCTTGCATTGGCATATTGTTGCTGAATGTTGCTGACCTACTTTGCGAAACATATGAGAAACGGTGCCAACTCATGCCAAAAAACCTGTGTATAAAGTCCAGATTCCAGCAGCTCCCGCTTTTGCTGCTGCAACCAATCAAGGGAGAAGTGAGGAGATTGCACTTCGGTCTCCAGTGTGCATTGAGGTGAAGCCTTTGATTGGTGCGCAGGGCGAGTCTGGTCAGCACCATGCTTCGGGACGTCCGTCTTTTCCAACAACTTCTTGCACAGCTCCTCAACTTTACGCCTGAAATGGTCGCGAGACGCTGCCAATGTTTCAGACTTCACCTTCTCCTCACAAAGTTGCAACTGGAGTTTCCGAAGCTCCTCTTCATCGGCTGCAGAACCTGCCGTGTCATGCCTGTCCAGCTCAGCATTTGCTATGGCTTTCTGGTTCAAGCAGGATTGCAAGTCAGAGCAGCGAGCACGAGTCTCCGCCATCTCGGCCTCCAACTCTTTCAAACGCGTTTCCAGTTGGGATTGCCGCATCTGCTCAAATTCCAGGGACTGTCTGGCCTCAGCCTCCCGCAATAGCGTTCGACAAACTAGGTACCGACTTACAAACAGTTTGAGTCTGTGATTGAGGGTGTCATGCAAGAAAGCTGGTGGAGCGAAGATGTTGGTTTTCCACAAGCATGCACAACAGGCACAGTGTTCTATGTGAAGAAAGATGGTTTGCATGTGTTGGTCGCTTGTCGTGACATTCGGACCGATCGCTACTAGGTATAGCTTTTGAACCCTGCAGCCACATGTACGCGAATCGCGAAAAGCCGCTTTACTTGCATCTGCATTGCTTTGCTTGGTTTGCATTCCTTTGAGGGTTTTGCTTTGAGTTGGTTCACCCCCCAATCATCCGCATATTGGTAGCGGAGCCCTGAGGGGCGGGTCATTTGGTGCAGTGGTTTTGGGTTGAAACATAGGCTGCCTGCCTGCACCCCGGTTGTCCATGGAGACGACAACTGCCGCATCTGCCAGACCGGTGGAGTCAAAGGCTGATCCAGGGCGTGCTTCGGATGCCGGTGTGAAGACGGCAGCGGACGTGCCACCGCCGCCTGATGTCCCACCACCAAATCGTTCGCAGCAACCGAATGGTGATACTTGGAGTGTGGATGAGAATGGTTCGATGGCACAACCATCTCAAGCGGATTTTGAACAGTTTTGTGCCTGGTGGCGATCTCGCCAGTCGGCTGAGTCACAGGAAGGAACAGTCAGTTTGTTCAAGGGTGGTGACTCTTCCAGCCGACCTAGGAGGTCTCCTGGGAAACAAGACAGAGCTTCAGTGAACGCTGGTGAGTTTCCTCAACTTCAAAAAGAATCCCGAGATGACAAAGAATCACGTCGTGTCAAGGAACCTCAAGATGCTAAAGAATGTCATGATGATACCGGACGAGGACGACAGAAAGAACCTCCTCGAGCTCAGAACCGAAGAGATGAACCTGAGCGACCTACACCTCCTCGCCGGGATGATTCGACCTACTATGGCAAGCATGACAAGTCTCGTTCAGGTGACCGCAAAGTCAAGTCCACTCCTCCCTCGGGTCCCTCCGACCCGGTGGACTCAGAAGGTGATGATGACGATGATGACACCTTCTCCAGCAGTTGCCCTCCCATGGAGTCCGATTCTGTCAAGACCTCAGAGGTGAAGAGCATGCTGAGGCGTTGGAACAGCAGGAGAGACCAAAGGAATCTCTGGGTTCCGTTCGCTTTGAAGACTTCTATGGTGATCGTGGGAAGTACCCTAGCTGGCGACGGGTAGTCAAGGCCCAACAGCAGTTGTACAAGATTACAAGTTGGAGACTGTGGAGCTATCCATGTTGATTTATCTCAGCTGCAAAGAAGGAAGCTCGTGACGTCCTTGGCCAACTGACCCTGGACCAGATGGTTGCTCCATGTTGCTCCAAATGGCCTTGATCTCATTTGGAAGATTGTGGACGCGGCCTACAATGAGACCAGCGAAGAGCACTTTGAGAGAGTTGACGGAGAGTTCCAAGCCTATCGTCGCGCTCCTGGGCAATCGATCCCCTCCTACATTGCTCAGCTCTAGCGTCTCAAGAGCGAGCACCTCAGGGAGGACAATGGCACTCAGTTCAGTGACCGTGCATGGGCACAGCGGCTCCTTGTTCGTGCCTCCCTTTCCAAGCGGGAATGCCTGGACGTGTCCTACAGTGCAGGAGGAGTCTACGCTTCAAAGGAGATAGAGAAGGCCCTTCGTCGATGCCGCGACTTCCGAATCCCTTTCGGAGATCGGTGCCTCGTTTGATCTCGTTTGTCCTCTCGCTCAATGTCTTCTGCTTCATCCATGGCATCGTCCACCACAGCCTCTTCAACGGCATCACGCTTCAAGAAGAAGGGCAGCGGCAAGGACCATGGTACCCATGTCGCATTGGCAGAAGATGATGAACTGCCATTTGATGATGATGAGGAGGAGGAGGAGGAACACTTGGAGCATGATGAAGCCTATGAAGCTTTCGTGCAAGAACACGAAGAGCCTGGTGAAGAAGACATGCAGGAAGAAGGCAATGAAGATGATAAGCCGGTGGAGTCGTCGGTGACCCATGAAGAGCTCAAGGAAGCCTGGGCAGCTGGGTGGCGTGCAAAGGATCAAGTCGCTGAGAAGAAGAAATGGAGGAGTTTCCAGCAAGGGCAGCCGTCCAAGCCCATGCCAAAACAAAGTCAAGAGCGGCCAGATCCAAGGAAGCAAGCCACCACATGCTCCAGTTGTGGCACTCGAGGACACTGGCGAGGCGATCCAGAGTGTCCCAAAGTGAAGTCCGGTGAGGACAAGCCTTTTCAGCCCAAGGTCAAGACTGTCAAGCATGTCAATTTTGCCCAGACGCCACAGATTACACCGGATCCTGCAGAGAAGATCCCCAAGGAGGTGTTCACAGTGAAGCATGTTGGACCTCAGGCTCTTGCTTCTCACAAGATCCATGAGGTCAACTTCACTTTCATGGCTCAGAAGATGTCGCCTCCAAAGGAACCACCTAAGAAAGGGGCACGGAGTTCACATCCACCTCTGTTGCTTTGTGCTGAATGTGAAGACCGGTTTTGTTCTCGCTGTGGAGCATCCACGGTTACACCTATGCTTCGTCGAGTTCTTCGGAGTTTGAACGTGTTGAGCCAAACCATGAACCTCCAGGTGTCGAGTCTCAGGTCCCACTCCATGCAGCCAAGAGTGCAGCCAAGGGGTATGCTATGCCTCGCTTCGAAGGTCGCGTGACAAGGGTGGGCCCTGCAAAGGCCATGGTGGCATTGGAATACATGTCCAAGACTCAAAAGAAAGAGCTCTACAAGCAGCTGAAGAAAGAGAAGGAAAAGGAAGATGAAGAACGAAGGGAGCCCAGGAAAGACAGAGCCATGTCCACCGATGTCCCCTCTCACAGGACAGATCGTGAGAACACCACTTACTGATGATCTGCCCACATGTGTCCGGAAGAAGAGGCTTGATGAGTTCAGGCAGACTTTGTATCATGAACGTGTTGACCGACTTGGCTACCTTCAACCATCAGAAGGATCCTCCCCTCCTGATGAGAAACAGGAGAGGTGCAAGCATCCCTTCTTGAAGTTGCGCTGGTCTGCAAACCAGCATGGTCACTTTGCCATGTTGCAAAGGAACCACCTGTGCAAGGACTTCTACCAGAGCTGTTGGCCATTGGCGATTCAGGATGCAAGACCGCTGTGGGTGGACTTAATTGGCATCAACGCTTCCAGAATATTTCAGAATGAGCTTCGGAGGCGTGGCCTGAGCTGGCTACAGTTCAGGAAGCTGAGTTGTTCAAGTTTGGTGCTGGTGAGGCCCTCATAGATCCTCAGAAAAGCGTGTTTTTGGATGCCCTCAGTTCCCTGTTCTTCGTGGGGAAACCAGCCCCCAAAAAGGGTCAAAGGCTACACAATTGTACACTGCATAGGCACCCCCAGTCAGCAGTGTTATAGGCACACCCTACACCACTGTAAAGGTCAAAGGGTGTGCCTATACACTGCTGACTTGCCTATGCTGGGGGGTTCGCGAGGTCAGAATTTGTGAAAGGGGTGGCTTCAGCTTCGCGCAACACCAGGGGCTGAAGTTGAAGTGGTTTCGAGGAGTTGACAAATTTCTTTAGAAGTTGAAGATGAATTGAGCTGGCCCACATCTATCCAGTTGGTCTTCATGGTCACAAATGTCAGTAGTGCTTGAGAAGGATGCGGTTGACTGTCCAGGCCTCATCGGACCTGCAAATATGGCCAAATGGCATGTCGTGTTCAAGTTCCATGATCGGCAGATGGTCACCATGGGTCTGACACGACCTATGGTTCTAACAGCCACGAGACATCCAGGTCTCAACCTCTGTGAGTATGGCAAGCTTGATGTTTTCCAGACGGATGCCTCTCTTCAAGAGCTCTATGAGCAGTTGAGAACTTGTCCATACACCTTCACCTTTATGCAAGGAGGCCCTGATGACAGTGAACATGACTCAGAAGATGAGCAGGATTTTGAAGACACATATGAATCCATATGAGATTGCCTCGGCGACCAGTGCTTCGGACTCAGAGCTTTAGGAGTTGGTAGAGGACCTTGAGTCATTGCCCCAGGTCGATGCCCGGGAGCCAATCATTCCTGGCACTTCCGACTCTGAGGAAGATTCTGATGACACCACAAACTCTCATGAATTTGGAGTTCAGTGGCAGCGCGAAGAAGAGTCCACCGCTTCTGAAGTTGAGGATCCCAGTCGACAGCACTAGAACTGGTGGAGCCGTTTGGGAAGTTTGGCGACTTTCACCAAGAAGAGAAAGGTTCGTCATGGAGTGAATGAAGTCTGTGAGGCTTTCCATGCACACCGACCTGCACGTTCTGTGCCAAGGCCACCTCCTACGCCATCTACACGTCCACCACACGTCCCCATAAGATCTATAAGGTGCTGGAGATCTTCACTTGGACCATGGCCGTCATTATGTGTGCAGTTCAGCGTGGTTGGACTGGATGTGAGCCGGTGACCTTGCCAAGGTTGAATTTGAGAGATGGTGAGCACAGAGATGAGGCGATGAGGCACATCGTGAAGGAAGAGCCTGACTTGGTCGTTCTTGCCGGGCCCTGTACTGTTTGGTTACCACTTCAGCACTATTGACGAGCGATGGCAACAGCTTCAACAACGGAGGGAAGAAGATCGTGAGGATTTCCTTTCTTTTGTGCACCAAGTGGTTCAAGAACAGCGACGTCGTGGAAGAGCACACCTGGGTGAGAATCCTCTTTCAGCAGCATGGCATGGAAGGAGCCCTACATCCAGGATGCCTATGAAGATGAGTACTATGGCAAGACACACATCTGTGCCCTTTTGGTTTGAGAAGACCTGACACCAAGAAACTGCGCAAGAAGCCAACGGCACTCGCTGGAACCAAGGAAATTGTTGAAGCTTGCTGTCGACCGTGCAATTGCACCTCACCACATGGCCAGACTCTGGGCACATTTCTCTTTCAGGGACGAAGACGTTCGATTGCAGAGTTTGCCGGCGGCTACACCCAGAGTTTTGCTCGACAAGTCATCGGTG